ATTGCGCTTGGTGACGCTTTTCGAGGTGGTTTCTGTCGCACGAACGAAATTGCGGCTGTTTATCTGAGCCAACCGACAGAAATTCCATTTCGTCTCGCGCCTGCATACCGACTCCTCGTGGCGTGGTGCACGCAAACCTTACACACATATACACACGGACACACACATAGATTACTCCATACATACACATAGTTTCTCTTTTACATCGTCGTATAGTAGTATAAACTGCAAAAGAAATATATACATAAATATATACATAAATATATACGTATGTATATATATGTATATATATATATATATATATGCACATATATATACATATACTATGTACGTATGTATATATGTATACATGTATCTACGTATGTATTTACATATGTATGTATGTTACGTATGTATCCATAGATCGCTCGAATCGTTGGCACTCTTATTTATTTCATTTCATTGGATAAAACTTTTGCAATACTCACAACGAATTAAATTATGCGTTCCCCCTCTCCTTCCCATATGTAACTCGTTAACAATACGAAAACAAACGTTAAATTCGAAATCTAATGTTTGGTTTTAGGGTGTCGATAAATACCATCGATTTTAAAATACTTCGCGCTTTTATATCTGATATGTAATGGACACTTCATCCCTTTTCTCCTTCTCTGTCGTCAACGATGGAAATTCTAAAGGAAAAAAAAAAAAAAAAAAAAAAAAAAAATAATAATAAAAAAAAAATACGTAACATACTACGTATAAACGTATTGATGGAAAATTTGCTATTACTTGTTAAACGATATGTCCAATTTTACTGTAATTCGATAAAAATTTAGTTATTCAGATTTTCTTCTCAACGTAATTAACTTATTATATTAACTTATTTATATCGAACGAATGGATTTATAAGGGATACCGATGTAAATCTGACGAGAATATTTCTGGTACATCTGTCCTTTTTTTCATTTTTCATTTTTTTTCCTTTTTTTTTTTTCTTTTTTTTTTTTTCTTTTTTTAATTCCTTCGTTTATTCGCTTTATTTTTCGATTTTTTATTTCCATTCTTTTTCCTTTTTTGTTTTTTTTTTTTTTTTTGTTTTTTCTACCTTTATTTTTCATTGTTCGACCTTCCACGGTCGAATTAAGCGATCATAGATAATTTAGATTTATGACTAGCCATGAAGATATGTTTCCATAAACCTCGTACTATCGGTAAGAATGAAACATCAACGTGTTGAAGTTATTAATAAAGCTTTCAACGATGATATTTCTTTTCATTGACAGATTTAACAAAAGCTTAATATTATACCGGCAATAGTATTTATTAGAAATAGGTTTGCCCTTACGTTTATAGATATCATCGATGATTCATATCAACGTACATCGTATATTTGAAAATGTCAAAAAAAAAAAAAAAAGAAATAAAATAAAAAAAGAAATAAATAAAATAAAAAAAAACGAAATAAATAAAATAAAAAAAAAAAGAAAAAGAAAGAAATAAATAAAATAAAAAAAAGAAAAAGAAAGAAAAAAAGAAAAACAGATTTAAGCTATTTTTCCGAAGCATTTAAAATTCTCATGAAAACTTGATTACTTTGAAACTTGTGGAAAAGGAAGAAGTTCACCAACTGAGCGTTCGTTCGTTCGTTCGTTCGTTCGTTCATTCGTTCATTCGTTCATTCGTTCGTTCTTTCGTTGGTTCGTTCGTTCGTTCGTTTGTTCGTTAGTTAGTCAACTTCTTCTTTTGCCCTTTGCGTTCATTAACCGACAAGAAACTTCAAATCCTTTACTATCTTCCTTTCTCTTTTACATCAGAAGAAACGTATTCGCTGACTCGATCGTTACTTACCTATTCAATTCTGTAGTTCCACAATAATCATAAAACGATTATTTTGTTGAGCTCTTTCTCTCTCTCTCTCTCTCTCTCTCTCTCTCTCTCTCTCTCTCTTTCTCTCTCATTTTCTCTCCTATTCTTTCTCACTTCCTGTCTGTCTTTCCTCTTTCTTAATTACCTTTCTTGTACGTGTCGAAAGTAATTGTAACAATTGAAAACAAGCGATCTTATTGTTAAACTTGTTTTCGTGGTATAAGCACTTGCAGAAAAGCCAGTATACTATTGTCCAATCCTATTCGAAAAATTCATTATTTCGTATAAATACAGTGAAAAGGCTATTCGAAATGAAATTCACCGAGTATAATATATCGTTTTTGAGAAAATTGTTTTCAAGATAGAAATATCTCAATTATTACTTTGAAATAGATTACTTTGGTATGAATTAATAGGTCTTGAATGTTTGCGAAAATTCAACTTGATGTAATATTTCAAACAATTATCATCTTATCATTCTTCTTCTTTTTCTTCTACTTCTTCTGCTATTTATTTTATTACTACTTCCTTCTTTTATTTGTTCGTGCAACATCTTTTCCCGTAAAAATTTTAATGACTTTTTTTTTCCCCTTTACGCGATGTTTCCAATACGGGACGTATTCGACGTTCCCTTTCGAGATGTCTTGTCCGTCAGACAACTTCATTATTCACCCGCATACTTACAACCTGGATGACAAGGATAAGATGTCTTTGAAGGAGTCTAGCCGGAAGAAGAAGAAGAAGAAGAAGAAGGGCCATCAGCGATATTCGACTCGACTATGCAGACTTTTTTATCGATCCTTTTTTTAATCGACATAGATAGACAAAGATACGGACAAGCCTTTAACAAGTTTCTTTTTTCCCTTTCTTCGGTAATTTTCTCTCTCTCTTTCTCTCTCTCTCTCTCTCTCTCTCTCTCTCTCTCTCTTGTACCTTTTTATATATTTTGCGAAATATATACGTGATATTTTTATTTTTTTAATTTTTTTAATTTTTTTTATTTATCGACAAATACCATCTCTATCTTCGATTCAATGACAACAGATTGTCCTTTTAATTTGATCCTTATAGTGAACATTCGTCGAACATGTAACGAACTTACTTCGAATATTCTAGTGTTCTACCATAGAGTGATTAACTTAGGATGTAAAGTAATACCGGTGATCCTTGAACCGGGTCGATGCGATTACCTTCATCGTAGTTGTAACTGGAAGACGCGAGGGTTGGCTGGCTACGTTTCTAACCCAATTAAATCGTTGCAAGCGAAATTCCTGTAGAATAGGCATATCATATCGAAGAACGTAACGAGTTTTAGCAAAGTGACAGGATAAATTATTAAACACACACACACACGCAAACACACACACAAACACGCACACGCACGTACATACATACATATAGATATATCATCGAATGTATTTCGTATATTGTTATCGATAACAAATGAGAAAATGTTGTCCTTCGTATTATAACTCGTACCAAGGAAAGAAACATGAAGTAAGAAGATCTTTTAAATTAGATATAATTTAAGTTACTATTCTTTCGTTACTTCAAAAGGATAAATCTCGTTTGTCACCCTTTCAAATAGTATTCCTTTATCCTCTCATCCTCGAAGAAAGAATAAGGAGAGTGAAAGAGAGAGAGAGAGAGAGAGAGAGAGAGAGAGAGAATCACCACTGGTTTGGTTAGTCTGCCTTTTTTCAGAAAAGTTGAATGTTTTTACGGAAGAAGTAAAAGTGGAGCGGAAAAATGGAGTAGCCGTAGGAAGAAGAAAAAGATAAAGAAGATGAAGAAGAAGAAGAAGAAGAAGTTAAGGTACCCGAGTAACGGGAGAATGCATTTACCCTGGCAAGTCAATGAAAGGTCGCAAGCGGATTGGCCAGTAAAAGAGTATAGAAAGAGAAAGAGAGATATAGAATAAAAACAGTTGGATCGAAGGACATTAAGAAGTGGGATATGGTGTTAAAGTATTCTTTCGTCGTATAAACACGTTACTAACATGTGTGTCTTCTTTTTTTCGTTAAAAAACGTAAACGTGAGAGATCTCGGGAACTAAAAGGCATGCAAACGAAAATAATAATTGTATCGTTGTTACTTATGCGTCGTCGTGTTTCGCAACAACAAAAAAAGAAAAATAAAAAAAAAAAAAATAGAAAAAAGAAAAAGAGGACGAAATAAGGAAAAGAACAAAAAAAAAAAAAAAAGAAAGAAAGGAATTTCTCTCTTAAGTTATAAATGGACACGAGAAAGTTTTCTTTTGAATCGGTAAATGCGTTTGTTCCTTTAGCCTTTGTCGCTCTAGCTGGATTAGAGGAAACTCCGTGAGACAGAAAGAAAGAAAATTAGAAAGAGGACCAAAAATTTTCTAGTACTCTTTTCTCTCTGGCACATTTGTCTCTACTTTATTATTTCCTGTTGAAAAAAAAAGAAAAAAGAAAAAAAGAAAAACAAAAAAGAAAAGAAAAAAAAATGTTGGTCGGTAGAAAATTTCATTCGAAAAAGAGAACATAGGCATACGAGGTTAATGAGTAAGAAAGGAAGAAAAAGAAAGAGAGAGAGAGAGAGAAAGAGAGAGAGAGGTAGGACCAGTAAATTACAATAAAAAAAGAATGAGTACGATAAAACGTGGGGTTATCCTTCTCTCTCTCTCTCTCTCTCTCTCTCTTTCTCTTTCGATATTTTTCGGATCTTAATTGCAGGGAAATGGTGTGTAATGGCGTGAAATATTGGTTAGAAAAAGATGCTGACTCTTGTCGCAACCGAGGAAGCTTTTAATCCGGCGGTGAACCAACGTGAAAATGCTGACCCCATAGATTTCACTGCCAATCCGTTAGAAATGCCGCAAGAGGCTCCGAAAAGAAGGCGTTTCTGAAATAGTAAACGTTAGAACAGAATAAAAGAGATGAGATGAGAATGTAAAAGACAAAGGAAAGGATGAAGATAAAAGTGAACATTGATAGAGATAGACGGTGATAGACAGATAAAGAGAAAAATAGAGAGAGAGAGAAAGAGAGAGAGAAAAAGAGAGAGAGAGAGAGATAGGAGTAAGAGAGAACGAAAAGCGCGGGATATGCGCGTCAGGGCCGTAGCTTCGTGTTGGTATTTAGTGGGGCGCAGGCGTCGGAAAATAGGAACGATCCTCAGTCGTCGTGCGAACCCGATACGACGCGCGGCTTCGCTTCACTTCGTTTCGCTTTTCATGTGGAATACTTAAACTCAACTATTCAATAGCAAACTACTTAACTTTCGCGAATATACCCTCCCCCCTCCTCTCTCTCTCTTTCTCTCTCTCTCTTTCCCTTTCATCTCGATTACACGAACTTTATATACGATTGTTCGATCGATATCCACTATCGCGAGTATCGACATTTAAAAACCAATCGGAAAAAAAAGAGAGAAAAGAAAAGAAAAAGAAAAAAAAGAAAAAAAAAAAACAAATATTTTTCCTCGTTTCTCGTGTCTATTATATATATTTGTTGCGTTTTATTTTATCAATTAATTGATTCGATTAATCGATTAATATTTTTTTTCTTTCTTCTCTTCCTTCTTTCTCCTTTCTTTTTTATTTTTATTGTTCTTTTTTATTTTCCTTTTTTCTTTTTTCTTTCTTTTCTTTTCTTCTTTTTTTTTTCTTTTTTTATTTTTTTTTTTAATTATTTTTTTTTTTTTTTTTTCATTGTTTTACGACGAACGATCGATATCCTTCCGTCCTTTCATAAAAACGACGAACCTTACTCGCATTAAGATAGTTTTATCTCTCTTGCGCTTTTTTTTTTATTCTTTTTATTTTTTTATTTTTTAATTTTTTTTTTTTATTAGATTTCGCTCAAAAAAACACTTTTTGATCGTGCACGAGTTGTAACTCGTTATTTCTTTTTTTGTTTTATTTTCTTTTTCTTCTTTTTTTTTTTCTTTTTTTTTTTTTCTTTTTCTCTTTCGATTCGATACAAAAAACGATCTAATTAAATTGATCGTACTTTCGATGAAAGTGTATATATTAGATAGAACGCGTTGTTGTCAATGTTGCAGGTAATATAATTAATCGTGCGTTAATGGGAAATACACTGTAATTAACTCTTTTCGATAATAGTTTAATCATTTCGTTACTAAATACGAGTTCGAGTAATTTCAAGTGCGTCGATAATACGAGCCATATCGTATTAATAAATAATTAACGTGAATTCAATCGGACCTATCTTGAAGTAATAGCCGAATAAAAATTAAAATGTTCATTGATCCGATAATGAACGTAATTAGAAAGTAACGGGTTAACGCGTATTCGCCATATCGAAAAAAGATCACGTATATGGGACATCGAGCAACAAGGGAGAAAAAGCAAAGGAAACAACGATAATAAGAATAACAAGAGCAACAACTAAGAAGATAGCTTATTGATAAAATACAAAAGGAATCATTTGTACGGAGGTAAGCGATCGACGAGTACGTACTCGTTTATCGAGTACGTACTTGAAATCATAAGAAAAAAAAAAAAAAAAGAAAAAATAAATAAAAATAACAAAATCGAACTTCGAGTCGCAAAAATTCCTTTTTCTCTGAGATCTCACTTGAATGAAGAGAAATGAAAAAAAAGAGAAAAAAAAAAGAAAAGAAAAAAAAGAAAGAAAGTGAAAAAGAAAAAGAAGAAGAGAAAGAGGAAAACTTGAGAGCGAAGTTAAACCACTTTTCCGTGTACTCGACACTTTTCATTCTACAACAATTGCCTAAGTTCGATCGATACCATTATGAGTCCGATAATAACTCGAAGTACGATAAATAAGAATAGGGAGATGGAAAAGGAAAAAAGGGAAAAGGTTTAAAATTAAAAACATTTTTGATTGTTGATTCGATCACGTTTACTTATACGATTGTACCAGGTAGAAAAAAAGTAACCCCTTTTAATCGTTGAGAGTTTATCATAGGTGAAATTTCAGCTCGTAAAAAAATGATGATTAATATTATTAATATCCAATAATAATAATAATAATAATAATAATAATAATAGTAATAATAATAATAATATTAATAATAATAATAATATTAATAATAATAATAATAATGAGACATATTTCATTACATTTTTTTTTTTATTTATTTTTTCTATTTTATTTATTGCTCAAATCAAAAACAAATAGCATAGAGTGAAATTTTATTCACTAAAGTAATATCTTTTGATGATAGTATTTAAGGGATTAAATTCGACTGATTAATAGCATAGTAAATTACACAGTAGAATCGATTTATGGATACGAAGGAATTGCAAATGAATTCACATGTTCCTTTCTCTCTCTCACTCTCTCTCTCTCTCTTTATATATATATATATATAAATATATATATATATATATATATATATATATATCACTCTATCACTTTTGTTATTAAAGTTTACACCCTGCCAAGTAAGAACATCGGTAATTTGAAGAGATCGAAAATCCTGTCGTCTCAATAGAAGTAGTTCGAAGGCATCAAAGGAAACTTAAATTGCCCGAGTAAAGAAAGAGAGAGAGAGAGAGAGAGAGAGAGAGAGAGAGAGAAAGAGAGAGAGAGAGAGAAAATTTCAACTCCGACGTAGAAGTTGAATTATGGCTTTTTCATTCCTCCCCTCCCCCTCCTCCCATCCCTCCAAACCACCCCAACCCTCACTCCTATCCTCATCTTCATCCCCGACTCCCTTTCCTCTTTAAAAGACGTTTAGAATCCTCACGGCACCTAAGGGTCACGCAGAGTGGGGTTGCTCAAGCAGTGTGGCCAAGAAGAAAAATGAAGTGTTCGAGTGTAAGTGGAATGAGGATGAGATATATGAGAAATTATCGATCTCTAAAAAGCAAATATGGGTTCGAAAGGGTAGAGATTCTTTGCCGTGACGTGAAAAGCAAAATGAAAGAACGCCCGTGACAAATTTCTTTTGGACGAGTCACGAGCTAGAAGAAGGAGAAGATGGTGGAAGAGGAGGACGAGGAGGAGAAGGCAAGCAAGCAAGCAAGCAAGGAAAGCACAAGCCAACGTATGCAGATTTATTACTCGTAAGAGAAGAAGAAGAAGAAGTGGAAGTAGTAGTAGAAGAAGAAGAAGAAGGAGAGAGAAAAAAAAAGGATGAGATAAAAAATAACTTAGGTAGTCGTGCTTGCCGCCTCCAGAGGTTGCTGGGTGCTATCAAAAACGTTCTTAGTTCGTGGATAAAGACGTCAAGATATATCGCGATGGTACGTTGTAACATCGTAGATTAACGTGGGAATTTTTCTAACGACGTTCCGTACGATACGTGCCATGACTCGAGAGCCAAGAAGAAAATATCTCTCTGCAATTGCTACAGCAACTGCTACTTTCTACTTGCTACTTGCTACTTGCTACTTTAACATGTAACCGTAACTGCTACCGGTACGACGACGAACGAAGCTTAGGGAAAAATAATGGGTAGTCCAATTACGTATGGACCGGTGCCACATTTTCGTTGAAAATAATGTTGAAAGTACCTACCTCGTTACACTAACGAAAGAATAGGAAAAGAAGAACTGCAATCAAGAACTTACTTGTAGATTTTTAATCGTCATAGTAATCAACGAGTTAACTGCCGTAGAAATCGTTAACGAGGAGTTCGATATAGTATAAAGGATAAAAGAAAAAAAGAAAAAAAAAAGAAACCTACCACGATTTTCCTCTTCCATTCTCTAATTATCTCAACTTACTGCGGCACTTTTAATTAGACATTCATTGTACATTTCCGGTCATAAAGTTTACTACCATTACATTCATCGTAATTTAATGAATGAATATTATTTAACGTTCGAAGGATCCGACCGAAGAACGCCTTTTTTTCTTTATTTTTACTTTTTATTCTTTGTTTCTTTTTTCTTTTCCTTTTTCTTTTTTTTTTTCACTTTTTGTTTTATGTTTTATCTTTTTTTTTTTTTCTTTTTTTTTCCTTTTTTCTCTTAATTCGATTAAATCGGCCAATCGTTAAATATTTTCTTATCGATTAATATCTTCTTTTATCTGTATGAATAATGAAACAGTATCGTATCGAAATATTTGTTATCTTACGTTCGAATGCACGACAAATGTAGAGTATTTTTTGTTTTTTTTTTTTTTTTTTTCTTTTTGCATTGAAATTTCTTTTTTTTATTACTTTATATGTAAATAATGAAAAAGAATATATATCTTAATGAAAATAAATTTCATTATATCTTATATCTAAATAGACAATAACAGTGTTTTTTTTTTTTTCTTTTTTTATCGGAATTTTTGACATTACTTTATTGATCGATTAAATATTTTTCTTTTCCTTTTTCTTTTTTATTTTATTTTATTTTCTTTTTTTTTTCTTTTTTTTTTTTTAATAAATCATTTTAAGAACAAACGCTGTACAAATTTATATTTCTATAGTATTTTCATGTACATATCGACATGAACTCATGTATCCGTTGTAAATTCCATAACGATCGATCCTCAAACCATTTTACGTTACTTGACAGAGAAAAAAGGAGGCTGCGAAATATAAATGATTTGACCCGAAAGTGTCGTTCGATTTAATAACCGTCCGACATTCGCTACGTGACTAGATTTCTCTCTCTCTCTCTCTCTCTCTCTCTTTCTCTCTATCTTTCACGCACACACAAAAATTCTCTCAACGGGGCGATACCAATTACATCGAACATTCCTTTTAACCAATTTTTAGAAAAAAAAAAAAAAAAAAAAAAAGGGAGAAAACAAAATAAAATTAAAAAGAAAAAAAAAACATCTATATTCTCTTTTATATAGCAATTGTCTCATTAAACAAAAGTATCTTAGAAAATTCATTGAAATTCACGAAAAACAAATCGTACAACTAGGAACATTTTAATAATCATACTCTTTGTGAATTCTCGTCTCATTTGAAATTTCAATCAAGAAAGAGATAGTAGATAACAATAGAAATAGAAAGAGACAGAGATAGAGAGAGAGAGAGAGACAAAATGTGGGTGCGTTATTTAGTATTTGTATATATATATATATATATATATATATATATATATATATATATATATATACGTATTATCTTCATGTAAGTTACGCGAGGAAACATTCGTCAACATGCAAATGCAATGTGTGTAAATTTCACTTGTACAGTGTTATGTGAAATCGCCTGACGACATTTTACATGAGAAATGTTCTAACGTAGGTAAGAGAGAAATCTATAATACTCATGTTACGCTCGAACGATGATGCGCGTAAGCTATGTGAAATAAGAAAAAAAAAGAAAAAAAAAAAAAAAAAAAAAAAAAGAAAGAATAAGAGTAAAAGAGAGATAAATAGATTGAATTCTCGAATCAGTATCATTTTCGGCGTAAAAGCGGGACAAAGCTAAAACGTAAAATAAATAGGGTTTCTAATCCCTTCGTGTATCCTCCTTTACTCCTCACCACCCCGCCCCCTCCCCATTATCCCTTCGTCAATTTTCATTGGATATTCGCTCGAGTAACGTACATTCAACAGCTATCATCGGCTGAGTAATCCCTTCTAACGCTATCGTTCGTCTCTCGTCATGGAAAACGAGAGACGCAAAGTAAACAGCTTAATTCTCCGTCCATCTTCCTTAGAATTTAATTATACGGTGAATTCGCCTCGACCGCGAACTATTGCTATTTTCATCATTTAAAAGGAGCAACTACTCTCTCGCTCTCTCTCTCTCTCTCTCTCTCTCTCTCTCTCTCTCTTTCTCTCTATCTCTCTCTCTCTATCTCTCTCTTTCTCGCTCTCTCTTTGATACTGTACTTATTAAGTGCAGAAGATTAATCAGTCTTCTTTATTTAAGAACAAAAATGAACGATTATTGTCTCAACAGATTTTTGCATTATACGAATATGAAATATATGCGATGGATTTGTTAGAAAATCTATTGAAAATAAAAAAAAAAAAAAAAGAAAAAAGAAAAGGGAAAATCTTATTATTATATCGCAACCAAATATTAATAATTCAAACGATAAGAGTGATTTAATGCCGGTATATAAATTATGATAAAAATTCGTACCGACAACGTGCATCGTACGAAAGTATGAAAAATATATTTTTGTTGAGAATTTTATTTATTCTTTATGTAATATCCAAATACAAATATTTTGAAATGAGAAAAATTGTTTAAATAAGTATATAAATTATGATAAAAATTCGTACCGACAACGTGCATCGTACGAAATTATGAAAAAATATCTACTTCTGGCAACAAATTTTTTTTCATTATATCAAAGTAAAAATATTTCAAATAATAATTGAACGACGTAATAAGTATAAATAAATAAATAAATAAATAAATAAATACAAAAAAAAAAAAAGAAAAAAAAACAAAAACATAACAAAAATATATGCTATGTCCTACGTGAACATGGATATTATTTTATACCCACAAGAGATTCTGATATCTAGAAAGAAAAAATAAGAAACATATATTTT